TAAATTTCAGTGTTAAGTAAATCGGATTCTGTTTGAGTATAGTAAAATATTATTGAAATAGTATTGTAGTGAACAAGAACACGACTGTGGACAATCGAGCGTATCTCACGCGCGAATTACAGACAATCTCACTAAAATCTGATAACCATATAGTAAACAGTTAATTTGCAAACTATCAATCAATTGACTAAATTTTGACTGTTTCTTCTGCAAATATCAGTTCATCTTCTTTGATTTTATCTTTATGCATTTTCATACCGATTGGGTTTCATTCCTGTTCGTTCCTAATTGATCTTCTGCCAGAATACATTCTACGTCTGACCATTACCATATACTACTTATGTGGGTATAAGTAGACCACATCATAATATCAATAAGTATCTTTCTATCACACAGACACATACTACTACATTCATTATTACTAGGCTCATAAAACCTTACTGAATAAAAGTTAAGATAAACAATTCAATATTTTCTTCATAAATACTTTTAATTCGTCTAAATACATTCATCTATGTTCATTTTCATTGTTCACAACAACCTCAGAAGTCATACGTTTCATATCTGTTGTTGCTTTATTTTTTATCACCCTACGTAACAGTATTAAATTTTAAGAACAAATCTGAATAACAGGTATTTATATCTGGTGAATAAGTTGAGAGATGGAGTGTAATGATTGAATTATAAGCTAGAAACTCCCCGATAATTATACTTAAAGACCTCTGTAGCTCAGTTATCATATACATTAAATGAAAATAATGCATTTAGTAATAGTTATTTCTTTGTTTATAATAATAATAGGAGGTTGACTAGACATAACTGTTTAGCTACAAGTTTTAACACATTTAAATTCTGGTTAACATTAGAATCCAAGACAAGCGCCCTGTCCTATTTAGAATACCTTAGGCGGATATGAGTAAATCTCTATGTTGATGCTCTTACTTAGAATCAAACTTGGTACCTATTACTTTGAATATCTGCTCTCTATACACTATGACCTTGATCCCGTGAAACCACGAACTTGCTCACCGTGCATGAAACTATCTGTTAGTTTGCATTTTCTAGTGTTTCACAGTGAGGATGACCTGTCAGCGTTTAAATTGATGGGTACTATTTTTTATTCTTAGTATGAGCATCGATAGTTGGATTCAAGTACATTCAGCTGACCAGTCCTGAATGGGAAGAATTCCACTTCCTGAATCATACTGTCTGACATAATCTAAATATCATAGTTTGTTTTCTTAAAAATCAAATTTTATGGAAAAATTGCGTACTTCAACTGGTACAAAGAAGCATGATTTGTCGATACATCCTATTTACTTTTAATACATAACTAATGAAAGAAAGTGTATTTATCGAATGAAAATTGATCAAAAAGACTAAGTTAAATAATAAAAAATGTATAAGGCTGTACAATATTTGGTGTTTACATACGGAAATGAAAAAACCTATTCCATGATATTATGGTGTATGCTACATATAAAAACAGATATAAGTAGTATGTACCGAGAGTTAGACGATTCTCACTAACGGAAGAGGAAAATGAGGAAAAGAAAGAGAAACTCAAAAGCAGTCAGAGTGCCAACAGGGATGGAAGAACGATGGGATTTGTATAAGACGATTCAAGGAAGATGTGCAAATGGTGTAATCAGTGTTTTTTTTTCATATTTTACAAATTCAGTAAGTGATTTTCCTTCACTTACTAGTACGCATATCTTCCATTATTTAAACTGGAAATATTGTGTATACTTACTTACTTACTTACTTACGCCTGTTACCCCTCGTCGAGGAGCATAGGCCGCTCACCAGCATTCTCCATCCAACTCTGTCCTGAGCCTTCCTTTCCAGTTCTTTCCAGTTGCTATTCATCCTTTTCATATCGGCTTCTATTTCTCGGCGTAGTGTGTTCTTTGGCCTTCCTCTCTTCCGCTTCCCTTCACCATTCCAAGTTAGGGATTGAGTCGTGATGCACATTGGTGATTTCCTCAATGTATGTCCGATCCACTTCCAACGTCTTTTCCTAATTTCCTCTTCAGCTAGAAGCTGGTTTGTCCTCTCCCATAAAACGCTGTTGCTGATAGTATCCGGCCAGTGGATGTTGAGTATTTTGCGTAGACATCTGTTTATAAATACTTGTACCTTCCTGATGATGGCCGTAGTTCTCCACGTTTCAGCTCCATACAGTAGGACTGTCTTGATGTTCGTATTAAAGATTCTGACCTTGAAATTGGTTGAGAGTTGTTTTGAGTTCCATATGTTCTTCAATTGTAGAAATGCTGCCCTTGCTTTGCCAATCCTCGCCTTTACATCTGCATCCGATCCTCCTTGTTTATCAACGATGCTCCCCAAGTACTTGAATGTTTCCACCTCTTCCAGAGTTTCGCCATCAAGTGTGATTTGGTTGGTGTTCTCCGTGTTGCATTTGAGAATCTTGCTTTTTCCTTTGTGAATGTGGAGGCCTATCGATGCGGAGGCTGCTGCTACATTTGCTGTCTTCATCTGCATTTATTCGTGTGTATGAGAGAGGAGGGCTAGGTCATCTGTGAAGTCCAAATCATCTAATTGATTTTGAGAAGTCCATTATATTCCGTATTTCCCTTCAGATGTCGAATTCTTCATAATCCAGTCAATCACTAGAAGGAAGAGGAATGAAGAGAGTAGACAGCCTTGTCTGACTTCGGTCCTTACTGGAAATGCATCTGTCAGCTGTCCTCCATGCATCACTTTGCACTGTAGTCCATCGTATGAGTTTTGGATAATGCTGACAATCTTTTCAGGAACTCCATAGTGTCGAAGAAGTTTCCACAATGTTCTCCTATCCACGCTGTCAAACGCCTTCTCATAGTCAATGAAGTTGACGTATAGTGATGAGTTCCACTCAACTGATTGTTCAACGATGATCCGTAGTGTCGCAATCTGGTCTGTGCACGACCGATCCTTACGGAATCCAGCCTGATGATCCCTAAGTTCGGCGTCTACTGCGTCTTTCATCCGATTCAGCAGCACTCTGTTGAAAACTTTTCCTGGTACTGATAACAAACTGATACCTCTGTAGTTCTCACATTGGCTCAGATCTCCTTTCTTTGGTATCTTGATGAGATATCCTTCTTTCCAGTCCGTTGGCACTTGTTCCTCTTCCCAAATCTTCTTGAAAAGAAGGTGAAGCATGTTTGCAGTTTTTTCAATGTCTGACTTCAGTGCTTCTGCTGGTATATTGTCAGGTCCTGCCGCCTTCCCACTTTTGATTTGTCTGATTGCCATCTTGACTTCTTCGATCGTTGGTGGAGTGACATCTATTGGAAGGTCTGTGTGGGCTGCTTCGATGTTCGGTGGATTCGATGGGGCTGGTCTATTCAGCAGTTCTTCAAAGTATTCTGCCCATCTTTTCCTCTGTTCCTGAATCTCAGTGATTGTCTTTCCTTCTTTGTCCTTGACTGGTCTCTCTGGTTTGCTATATCTCCCTGCCAATTTCTTCGTTGTATCATATAGTTGTTTCATATTTCCTTCCCTTGCAGCTTTTTCCGCCGCCGTTGCTAGTTCCCCCATGTAGTTCTGCTTGTCGGCTTTAATGCTTTTCTTCACTTGCTTGTTTGCTTCTGCGTAGTCTGATTGTGCTTTGATTTTCTCTGCTCGTGTTCGGCTGTTGTTAATTGCTAGTTTCTTGTTCTTCCTTTCTTGAAGTTTGTCCAGGGTTCCCATAGAGATCCATTCCTTGTGATGATTCTTCTTAGGACCAAGAACCTCCTGACACGTTGAAGTTAGTGCTTCTTTTATCCCTTTCCAGTTGTCCTCCAAAGTGGTTTCTTGTTCTTTCAGTAGATCCTGTAGAGCTTGGAACCTGTTGTTGAGAGTTATCTTGAATTCATGGAGTTTGTCAGTATCTCGAAGGAAGGCTGTATTAAACCTTTGTAGTGCTGTTTGTCCAGTTGTCCAGTCATTCTTAAGCTTCATTCTCACCTTGGCCACAACCAGGTGGTGATCTGAAGCTATGTCAGCTCCTCTCTGGGTTCTCACATCTTCCATTGATCTTCGGAATTTTTTGTTGATACAGATGTGATCTATCTGGTTCTCTGTGGTGTGGTCCGGTGAAATCCATGTAGCTGTGTGTATGCGTTTGTGTGGGAATATTGTGCCGCCTATAACCAATTTGTTGAAAGCACATAGGTTTGCAAGTCTCTCCCCATTTTCATTTCTCTCTCCTAGTCCATGTCGTCCAATTACATCTTCATATCCTGTGTTGTCCACTCCAACTTTAGCATTTAGATCTCCCATAAGGATGGTGAGGTCCTTTCGTGAGCACTTCTCCATAATTGATTGCAGCCTTTCATAGAACTGATCTTTATCATCGTCGTTGCTATCATTGGTGGGTGCATAACACTGGATAACATTCATTGTGATCCCTTGCTTCTTTGTTCTGAATGATGCTTTGATTATCCTGGGTCCATGAGATTCCCATCCCACAAGTGCATTTCGTGCTTCTTTGGACAGCATTAGAGCAACTCCCTGAGTGTATGGCGCATTTTCCCCTTCGTGACCGGAGTACAACAGCATCTCTCCTGTACCTAGCCTTTGTTGTCCAGTTTGTGTCCAATGGGTTTCGCTGATTTCGAGTACTGCCAAGTTGTATCTCCTCATTTCCATTGCTATTTGGCTGGTCTTTCCTGTCTCCCACATTGTCCGGACGTTCCATGTACCTATAAAGAGTGTTGCTCTGGTTGTTAGAAGGTGCATCGGTCTCGTGACTTCCGAAGAATTTCGGCTTTCATCATGAGACGTCATTATTCCTTCAACTTCGAGGGCAGAGTTTAAATGGTTTGGATTATTTTTTCTGGTTAGCGTTTTTTTAGCGAGTTAGCTTTTCTACGGGATGGGGTCGCTAACCCCATGCCCAACCCACCTCCTTTACCCGGGCTTGGGACCGGCAGTAACTCTAGAAGAGCTACAGGCGGAGTTAAATATTGTGTATACATATATTTATTTAGGCTTTTACTTAATTTTAGATTTCAAACAAAACCTGTACCACTTCTTCGAGTGAAACCGAAAGATGAAATTATTTTTGTTTGTGCCCAAGAATCACTTTACATATTATGGGTAAGTTAGTTTTGTATAGTTTAAAATGTAATAAAAATCCTTAATAATTTTGTGTCATTTCAGAAGGGGTTTGTGGAGATTTCAGTATTTTCATAGTTGAAATCATGAGTCAATTGAAGCTAGACCACCATGGAGAACCTGCAAGCACTGGACGGCCGTTTCGTCTTATTATGGGACTCCTCAGCAGTTAGGTGCTCTAGCGCGAGACTGGTAGGTCCTGAGTTCGAATCTCGCGAGGCGAGATCGTGTATGCGCACTGCTGAGGAGTCCCAAAATAGGATGAGACGGTCGTCCAGTGCTTCCAGGTTTGTGTCATGTATTAGATATTTATCCAATATCTTCAGTAGTATCTGGAGGAAACCACAAATTGAAATCAATCAATATTGACTTTATATAAAGTGTAGGAAATATAAAAAGATTAAATATTGAAAAGGGTTACAAGTTTGTGTTAACTCGTCAAGGCAGTATTACGTGAAATACAAACAGTTTTTAAAATTACACGTTGCATTTCAAACGGTGAATCAATACTGTTTCTGTAGAGTGGAATAATTTGTCGTTGTTCTGTTTAGGACTACTCAAGAAAATACTCATTTAAATGTACAGTATGACGAGTATCATTGATTCAATTAAGTACGGAAACTAGTTTGTTGTCACTACTACAACTTTTTCAAACGTCAGAAACTTACGTAACTTTCTTGTAATACATGACTTTTCTAAACACTAAACGATACAATCCTTTTCTACTTTCTAGTAGACTGCTATATGTGTTGAATAACTATAAATATGATCGTACAGATCCAGTTAATAATATCGTAAGAAATCAAACTTTCTTACGTGAATTATTCTTATTTCTTCTTTAACGAAGACCTATTTATGTAGGTTCCGTACTAAACGAATTATTCAACTAACTTTTTCACCACTGATTTATCTTGAACTGATAGCAATAACTCCTATTTTCGTATCGATATTTGAATATTAAAATTCCTATTTCTTTTCTAGCTTGAAATATTGCAAAATGTTAGCGTTTTCCAGTGACCAAAGAAGATTTACGTAATGAAGCAGCAGTTATATATACAATGACTTTGGAATTAGGTCTTAAAAAGGCAACACGCTTGAAGAGACACGGACTAATAAGAAAGAAGCTTTCTCAAATGCAATAAAACTAGGTCATAGCTTCTGTAGGAAGTTTCGGTACGGAAAATGATAACTCAAAGTTATGAGATAATCAATAAGTAGTTTCTTGGGGATGTAGCAACCTTGACAACTACGCAGTGCTATACATCTCTAATGGGATGTAAGTTTATAGGGTTTGTATGATTAGGAATTTGTTATTATTGAGTGACAACGATTAGAAAACAAATGAAAAATTCAAATTCAATAATTTCCACACAATCCCGTTTTAATAATAAGAGTGTAGTCACAAGTAACTAACATAGAAGTTGGTACTAGTGAGAAATTATGACCTTTTAGTTTCAACTATATGGGGAATGAGACAAATACCCATTGATACTATTAGATGACCTAAGTCGGAAATATAAAATACTTAATTCCAAATCCATCAATCCAGGCTATTACTACAAGATCTTAGTAATCTGAGTTCCATTGCCGATAGAAACGTAGTTTTATACTTGTAAGGAGACTTAAACTGAAACGATTTATTCAATACTTCTTCGGCTTCTTCACTTTTCTCAATCAAATATAATTTTCTTTGAAATAATTTCTAAAGATTTAAGTTTCCATTAATATTTGAAAATGTATTCAGATGTTTTGTTCTGTTTTCTGCTTTTTTATCTTCAAAGACTTATGAATTCAAAGTACTTGAATCATGTTCAATGTGGTTAAATGATAATCTAATGGTCAATCTATTATTAAAATGTCCTGATAAATCAAATCGAAAATTACAAATGCGTCGTCAAAGTACTACAAACATTTCAAAAGATAAATTGAACTTAAAAACTCCCCAAAATTTAGTCATTAAAAATTATTCAAATTTAATAGGGAATAATTCGACTGCTCAAAATAACTATATAAAATTAAAAAAATCTTCTGAACGTTCTACAAAAAGATTCAATAAACGATCGTCGTCATCATCAACATCATCATCTTTGAAGTCATTCATTTCACATTCTCCATTAATTGACCGTAAAAAGCATCCATCACAATTTACGTTATTAGTAGAAGAATTTGCATGGGCTAATGGAAATCCAAGTTTTCCTGTTAATCGTCCAGTTTATTTTCTTGGTAAGTAATTATGTTTTCAATTTTGTTGAATAAAATTATATTTGTATGATAAAATGATGAAATGAATTTATTGTAAAATATTGATTGTTAAATAAGTTGTGCCAACAATAACTATTTTATCTAAGCAAAGATGGATAGTGGCTAGCAGTGGAATCCACGACGCTCGTCAAGTCCTATTTGGGACTTGTCAGCTGCATGTACCTGCATCTCAGAGTTGATGTTCAATCCAAGAGTCGAACCCAGTAACTTTCACTCCAAACGCCATCGCGTTATCCACTCAGCTATTGATTCCTGATAGCTATTTGCTTGTGCAATGGGGTGAAGTTTAAATTCACTTAGTATTGTTTGTTTGAATCTTCCCATTGACGTTTAGGACTGCAACTGGTCAGTCTCTAATTAGCATATGGGCATACTGTGCGTATTGCCTAGACATTCAACCGATGAGTCCAAAATAGGACGAAACGCGCATCCTGGATTCCACTGCTAGCCACTATCGATCTTTGCTTACAATGCTTGTGAATTAATATTACATGGAGTCAATACGCACAGTATGCACATATGCTAATTAGAGACTGACCAGTTGCAGTCCTAAACATCAACGGGAAGATTCAAACAAACAATACTAAGTGAATATTTGATCTAACTTTGGTACTTGTGTAAACTAACTTTCGAATACAATTTATGATTGTAAATTGTTACAGACAACAACCTCAATAATTCTATTTTACTACTTTATTCTTTATTTTGTCATTAATTGGTATTCAATATCATTTTTGTCTAGACTTTAGTACTGATAATGTTCTGTCGATCAAGTTATCCCTTGTGGTTATCAGTTTATGCTATTCAACATTATGTGACGTTAAGTGATTAGAAGAGATCGAAATGAATAACTGAACCTTTATTTCATGTTACTTGGTATTCATTAACAGGATACATCAATTCTCTTACAAGTTTACATGCACTTCATGAAATCTAGTTTTACGAGTGAAAGCTGAGTGAATATGTAAGGTAGCTGAGGGTTATTAGGTTTGGAAAGTATATAATGAGAAGATTGAAGTTAGGAATTCGTAATATATTCATGACTTAACACTATTATCATAACTCTTCATCGAATTACAACTGAAGAATTGTTGAAAATTCCAAACATTTTGATTTAAGGCATTTTTGAGTGACTGGAGTATTTCATACAATTTTTATTTCAACTAAACTATACTGATTCATAGACTGACTACATTCACATTCACACTAATAATAAATAATATTCGTCTTTGGATATTTTATTAAAGATTTCGTTTTCTATAACATTAATCATTGTTATCCAGGAAAAGTCTTTGTTTACATATCCTAAAGTTAACTATTGAAAAATGTCCAATACTAACACCATAACTTTGTCAATATCATCTCTAGCGTCAGGTGTACTAACCAAACTAAATTATCTGCTACATAGCTGATATATATATATATATAACGTATAATTTAGTGAGTTGTAAAATTGTAAAAATAGACAGTTTAACTAGAGAACCCCGTTTGGAATATTTAACTTGAGCGCAGAAGGAAATTACTCAACGTTTAAATTACCTGTTAATAGAATTGAATTCACAGGATAATACAGTTCGATAATCGTAAAAGTCATTTTTAGCTCCATTTTTCGATAGATAATCCTAAAATATAATATTTAGCAAGAGTATATATATGCTGGTTGATTTGATAGGGTTTTAGATGGGGAACTTGATTCTAAAACTGTTTTGATCCAATTCAAACTATTCATCCAAAAAATAAAAAAATTAAGAATTCAGTGTCAGGGTTGCTGAATTTTATTGAGATCATAAACCGATCAAAGTTAAACAAACACTGAAAACTTGGAAGCAACGGATAGCTATTTTGGTCAATTATAAATGATTATCCACCATTCCGCCTCAGAGGGTCAAACCCAGAAACCTTAGTGTCGTACATGAATTTTAACCTCTAGACCACTGATTTAGGATCCAGTGGTGTGTGAATCCAAATAATCAAGATTTTCAGCGTTTGTCTAACTTAAATAGATTTTCGATCTCGATAAAGTTAAAGTGATTCTAATATTTACAAAATATTTCATTCTCCAGCAATCATAATAGGCAGACTTGAAATCACTGTAATCCAGACAACAATCTAGCCTAAGTTACATCCGGTTATGTTACTTCAATGTAATCATTTGTATGGCCTTAGAGATCATTTAAGTATGCATTGGCTTATTTTCATTGTTATAAGCTAGCTTTTCTCGTTACATCGCTGAATAATTGTTCGACAAACAATTTGTGAAGACAAACTGAAACCTGAAAATTTGATTTAAAAGCTGTATATAAAAGGCTATATGCAACGTGACTCGAATTCACCGGTAGGATTGTTTTTATCACAAACTAAAATTAACTATATTATATCACGAACTTAGATTCTTAGTATGTCGCGTAATACTTGAGCACTCGAACGCTTGAACCCTCCCAAGTCTCAAAGTCAGAAAAAAAGAAGACTGGTAAGTAGGAATGTTATTCCCAAAAACAGTGTCAAGTATAGTACAAAAATCTCATGTATTTATAGTTTTTTCGCTGAAAGTAAATCATCATTTTGGATAGCCAATAGGTACATATGGGGTCCTTCTTATTCAACCGATAGGAGAAATACACGTCGAAATTCTAGAATGTTCCTCTAGCGGTGTCTTCGGCTCTTTCTGGGGTTCTCGAGGCTTCCTTGAGTTTGCCAACGAGCCATCCTTACAAACTACAAAACCAGTGAAAATCAAAAAACATCCAATAGTCATTTCAGTTAACTTGGGACATCTAAATTGTAAACATTCATGACTATGCCAAGGACTGAACCTAAGATCTTCATATCTTGTAAGAACCATATAATATTTTAACCTCTTCAGTCAAATTTCATTGATCCATATTTCTAATTCTATTCAATCCCCAATATTATCCAACTCAAACTAAGATAAAGCAACTCTCCACTGTTTTTTTATTTATTTTAATAGTTATCTAGTTGAGGTCAGGTTATTTTATAAACTATCTTCAAGTCTTACAATACCCTACAACATATCCAATTTAACTGTTATAAGAATTCTATTCAACAAAATGACTATCATATGAAATAACTTAACGTACGTTTGTCATTTCATTAAATATGACCTTAATAGTAAAAATAGATTCACTTGATAGATTGACCTTTTACATAATAATTCCATATCAGAACTATTTTTAAGATAAATAATTGATTCCAAGTTACTTTCATAAAGGATCTTCCAAAAACTTTACTGAATTCATTCATAATGAAATTCAATTGAAGTATATAACTAAGGAAGAAAGAAAGATGAAGTCATAGTTTAATTGAATTGAATAAATCTAATATTCCATTAAAAGTAAACTTTGATGAAAAATAATTAACTAAAAAATTAAGTATTAGTTCATTGAATGATAGAATCTGATAACTAAAGTATTCAAACAATAGAATAATTGTGAGTTATATATTAAAGGGGTTATCATTCATCAGAGAATAACTTCAATATTGAATAGAATGAATGATAAGAAAACAAGAAAAAAAATTATTTTAAATATAATAGTGTAAATATGAATTCGGCTCGAGACTGGTAGGTCCTGGTTTCGAATCTCGCTCGCGAGAGCGGGTTCGTGAATGCGCACTGCTGAGGAGTCCCATAATAGGACGAAACGGCCGTCCAGTGCTTCCAGGTTTTCGATGGTGGTCTAGCTTCAATTGACTCATGATTTCAACTGTATAAATATGAATTAAACAAAGCAGTATTGTACAGTGAACAAAAGAACTGCTTGATAAGAATGAACGTAAGGTGAACGTTTACACATATATTAAATGGATAGAAAAAAATTAACGAAAAGAATAAAGAAAAAAAAACAAAAAAAAGAAAAAGTGTGTAGCAACAGAAAATATGCAAATAGAAAAAATAAAATTAAACAGCAGAAAAAAATTTTAAAACAAACTACAAATAAAACAGGTTACAAAGACTTAGAAAAAAAATAAAACGCCGTGTATAGAAAAACACACGGAAAAAGTCAAAACAAAGCAGTTAAATACATATAAATGAGCAAAAGAAAAAGAATAAAAAAATGAGGAAACCAAAATTAAAATGTAAAATATAAGAACAAGAAAAACTAAAAAAAAATTACAGAAATGACAATATAAAGTAAACCAGAAAACGATAAAATTATATCGGAATTAAGATGACATATCCATTAGGCCACGGAGCCCACGATCTCACACCCATCGTCTCACCTCACACCAACCGTCCACATCAACTCACCTCAAACAGACAATCCTCCTAACACACACAACACACACACACACATAAATGCACAATCGCTCATCAGTCACCACTCACTGTCCAAAACATACCCTCAACACTGCTCACAAACACCCTAACAAACATCGTTTCGTCACCTCCAACTATACAGATATGCAACACATCCATGCACATTTGCCTTCATCTATATAAATATATATATATATATATATATAAATATATAAATATATATGTTTATATACATAGACGTCGGTGAGGATTTGTGTACATGTAAATAGACAACAACCTATGAACCAAGAGAGAGACAGAGAGGGAGAGACGATGGCACTCGGCATTGTACGTGGTCAATCACACCAGTCGACGGAAGTCGACTATCCACTCATTCGTTTGAACAAACAAGTGTGCTGTGGACGATTATCTGAGACCACCTCGTCTCCCCGAAACACCGAAGTCTCATAACAACTTCATTGTTCAGTTTCGGTCAATCGTGTCTTGTATGTGGTGTGTCGCACACCACAGAGATCGGTCGAATGCATAGCTCGTGACTCATGCTGACACGAATTATGCACTAGATATGAAGTCGATGGGGCGAGACTATCATTTATGGACAAATCAATCAGATTTAAGATTTCAGCTATTGCATTTCAGCACGAAATTCATTCATCCACGTGTCTAAACTGCATTATACCATTAT